TTTGTCTAGTGAGTATTGTTCCTGACAGGTTAACATGTAAAGTTTACTTTATTTTTACCAACATTAACAAAGATGAATTTCTCAAGACTGCGCATAGCGACATATATTTAAATCAGCAAAGTTAAGCAAAGATGAACTGTATATATTAAACAGAATAAAAACGCATTTATAAAAAAAAAATATATATATATCTATATTTGAACTCGTTCGTACTCGCGATGTTGTCCACGCTCATCGAAACAGATTCGATTACGCTCTTTATTTGATCTACGGCTTAAAATAGAATGGAATACAAATAGAGACGTATAGCTGTAAACACGAGTTATAATTTTATTATCAATATACGTCATACATACAGCACATGGTTAGTGACACGCTTATACGCATCGTACGCACAACACTCGCACACACGTATCAACAAAAGAAATAATTACACGTGCGTACATATTCGTATATGCACCTGTACACGTATATGCACTTATATACACATATATATTTTATATACGAAAAGTCATACATATGCAACATATAATATATAACGGATGTACATTTTCACATATTTTTCTCGGTATACAAGTATAATATTTTATGTGTAAGTCTATATTCGCAAAGCGAAAGGGAGAGAAAATTCTCGTTTTGTTCATTTTTTTCAAAATATATAATTCTCGTAGCGCTCTTTCTCTCTCTCACACACACACACACATTGTTCTCGTGTATATTATTCTTTAATTTCTTTCTGCAAGAATTTGCGCAATAATGATACGTTCGTGCGTTCGAACGCAACGAATAATGATGATAATGATGATTGACAAAGATAAACTCTTAAGATATAATGGATATTATTTGAAATGAGAAATTAGCCGTCGTTCTCACGGCCTTTCGATGATTACTCTCACAACCTTCTCCACACATTCACTAGAATCTTTTTCGTATTTTCAATATCACAATGGTTTAATATATTGACTATTTTCATAGATAATTTTCTTTAACTTCTAGAAGCGTGTTGTAAACGTATTTTTTGACCCTGAATGTAACTTTTTCCTTTTGTTACTTCGCAATGCTCATATGGTTGAATATGTATGATGTGTACTCCGCAATCACACTTTTCTAACTTCAATCTCGTAACGTTTTTAATCACGTCTAAGTCCGTGGAGGCTTCCTGTTCGCTTTACATATTCACGTATATACTCAAGTATACTCGCGAATCGCGTTTCTATTGTTGTAAATATGCATCGTGCCTTTAAATTTCCATTTTTGGCCTCGCTCACGCGTAAGTGGACCTCATCCGCCCACGCCTGAACACAACCCTATACCTTTATCTGCTCCTCCATGGACGGCGATAAAAACGATGCAGCTTTATTATAGATCATGTGAATATCCAAGGAACACTAAATCCTGAGTATCTAAAATTTCAAATGAGATACGCACGGATACGGCGCATATCTCGACCTCTCGTGGCTTCATCAAATATACTGATTAAACGCTTTTACTTGACAATCATTTCCATTGCAAGAATAACGACCGAAATATCCTCACAATTATAATGAAAATGAGTTTTTTGTGCACAGTCCAGATATCATAAAATATTTCGCACGACAGAGCTATAAAAATTTGAAGGGGTTACAAGTTTTTCTTTTTTACTTTATGTTTAAAATAATATTACTAGGAGACGCATATATTCGCGATAACATACTCTGCTTTTAATCTCATGTATACACATATTACATATACTTAATATAAATAAATATAAATATATTTATAAATTAGTTATAAGACGGTTTGATTTTTAAATAACGCATTGTTATATTTCACCAACATTTTATGAATTTAACGAAAAAATATTTTAAATAAAAATTTTAAAGCCTTTGAAGAAAAGGCTTATTAAAAGTGGTACTATTACATTACAAATTTTGTGTAAATTTTTTCTAAGATAAAAATTTCGGTGAAATTAAAATACATCATTTAAAATTGGGTCATTCTCTATATGTTCTTTCCAGATTTTTACATTCTTCACGATCCAAACAATTTTAGATAGAGCGTTTATCAGTAGATAAAAAGCGATATATCGTATTTATATTTAAATGTAATAAATACTGCAGAGAGTGTTCCAAGTAATTAAAAAATCACTTTTTTGTATAGAGTTTTGTATATATTATAAAAAACTAAGAAGTACGTATTTACTGTCTAAATCTAAAAATATGTTGTCACAAAAAACAATCATCAACATAATTTTCTAATCGAACAATTTCAAACAGTTTTTTATATGCTTTCTCAATAAAATGATTATAATGGAAAACAGTATTTTGTACGTAAAATCAAGTCAACTACATATACATGATATTATTTTTATGGCACTTTCGCAAATTGCGATACGTAATAGCAATAATAAAAATTTACAAAAAATACGTAATACTAAAAAACTATGTAATACATCGATCAACAAGTTATAATCGAATAATAATCAAAATGTTGCATAATAACAGAATTTTCATGTGCTATAATCTTGCATAATATGTAATCACAATAATGTTAATACTGTAAATATTGCATATCCATCCATAATGAGAGAAAAAAGCCTATAGTATTATACACATATGAAATAAATAAATTTTACATCGAAATGATAGCATATATGCAAATTCGATTATATCGCAACAGAAGAAAAAATAGTTTCTGTGCAAGGATATGCAAACATGTGTAAAAATATGATTACGCGAAGTCTCAATCTCTTCGCAGTTAAAAATTAGATTAGATTATATACGCGAATGATAAAACTCGATACAAATGTGAAAGACCATAACATCGACGTTTTTCACAAGCATGAGAAATAATCTATATGGTATTAGACTCATTTTAACATAGAACATCAATCTTTAGTTTATAAAGGCGCACACATATATAGAGGTGCTTTCTTAAATATATAAATCAATATAGATTTTTCTTTACATTTAAACACTAATGTAGGCCATGACATTATTTTTTTAGTAAAAAGATCTGATATACGCATGTTTGATAATTTAAAAAATGAATTTATTAAAAATAAATGAAATGGATAATAAATTATTCATCGATCATAAATAGACAATTATACAATAATAAAATTCAACATCAAACATACGTAATTCATACGTTATGACATAAAGCAATATAAAAATGAAGTAATTAAAAATAATGATTAAACATTCTTGATACATAAATATAACAAGAATTTTTTAATTCATATGTGACACCATAATTTATTATTTGGTATCCAAAGTATTCTATCAATAATAACAATTAATAGTAACAAAATTGTAAGATATTTCCTCTATAGTAATAGTAACATAACGAAAAAGTAATTAATACAATACTACCTTTTAAATTAAATATCTCTGTCAATTTAGCAAATCAAATTCATCAGTCTTAACATTGCTAAATACAAATTAATTTCTTTCCATATTACAAAAAATATATGTAATATAAAAAGCGCTATATACCAAATATATATATAATACAATAAATACAATAATTATAAACACACACACACACACACACACACCACACATATATCTATGTATATGTATAGTACAGGAAATAATTTTTACCATACAATTTCATTGTAATTGAATGTTTCTTCCAGGCATTTAATAAAATAAAATTAATGATAAAGAATTTTTTTAAAAGTAACAATTGTGCTGAGATGCAATAATTGAAATTATTTGTGCTACATTTGTGCTTTTACCCTTTCATTATAATTTTGTACAAATTAAATCTTATTAACATAATATTATGTTTGTCACATCAAATCTTTATATCCGAAAATAAGTCATTATTATCAGAGGCAATATTGCCTTTATACATTAAATACTTTATTTCTTATATATAGATTCACAATAATTTATTTGTAATAGATATATCAACAACTCTATAGTTAATCTTTACCAATAAAAAAAACTTTGTTGAAATAAAAATGAAAACACCAAGCGATATTTACAATATATTATGAAATAATTAACAATAAATAAATGAATATACAACACTCATTAATAAAATGTGTCTATACAAGATAATTTATAATTTTAATCTCTTTTCTGTAACATATTTAAAGATTTCTTTATCTATTGATCATTTCGATATTAAATTCTTTATTATAGTATTTAATTTGTTATGCTAAAATATGTAAAAAATGAAATAATGTATAATACAATACTGTTTTATTTTTATTAATTATGTAAATAATAATCAATTATCAATATTCCTAGCATAGAAAAACGGGAGGCTTCAAGTCATGAAAAGATACACATTTAATGTGTTTGATTTAGAAAAGGTTTGTCGTGAAGAGAATATCTTAATTATGAAAGAAAAGAAAATGGATATCGTAATAAAATAAAGTCATGTAAAACTATAACAACTATTTCGAAGATGAGCTCGATATCGACGAAATGATTGTAGTCATTTTATGACAAGGATTTTTCTTATACGCGAAGAAGTAAAAAACTTGTAATATTATGCATTGTGTGCAATAAAAAACGCTTAATTTCATATATATTTTTTTCGATGGTAGAAAATTGATGTGTACAGTTGTACACGCACATACGGATAGAGATGTGATCTCAATTTATCATGCAGTCAATATCTCCAATGCTTATTTTCTGCTACAAATATCGTAATAAATTAATCCTAAATTAGATATAAAGAATCTAATTTAATTTTTATATTGGCATCAGAACCTTCTTGTTTTTCATTGGCACACTTCTATGATAAATACGCTTTATAAATATTACATCTATATGGTATATAAATACAAAGAAAAAGGTATTTCATAGCACTCGTTAATGCTATGATATAATAAACAGCAAATGAAGGAAAATAGTCATAGATACCTATACTGGAGAACGAAAGAATTATTCATTCTGATGGTTTTCCTAAACTCAAGGACGTACTCTTCCAGAAACAGTCATTGCACGACGCAACACCATGGTCCTTGGTTCTTGTACATGTGCACAGTTTGTCTTCAAAACTTATAAAATGTTGCACTTTTTTGAAGCACGTCGTCGCTTTTTTTGATTTTTCTCCAATTCAGCTGGGGGTTGATTTCTGATAATACGAACAACCTGGAACAAACATTGCAAATCTGTATATTCATTTACATAAACAGAAATAATCAATAATTATCTACTTTTTTTCATTATTTTTACCTCGTGAAATGCCACGTCTACATTTAACGGTGGATCTTTGGCAGAAGTTTCAATATAAGGTATGCCCAAACGATAAGCTAATTCTCTTCCCTGTTCTTCTGTAACTTTTCTCAAATGTACCAAATCAACCTTGTTAGCCACCAGTAACATAGGATAAATATCTCTATCTTTCACTCGTAGAATTTGAGTATGAAAATTGACGATGTTTTGATACGATTGTTTATCAGTCACTGAATATACCAAAAGAAATCCATCACCTTTTCGCATATATTGTTCACGCATAGCACTAAATTCTTCCTGACCAGCTGTGTCTAATACTGCAATGTAAAACAAATGCATATAAGTATTCATGAGAGAACAGTAATTTGTAGAAAGTATACCTTATATTTCTAATACACGCACCCAAATCTTAATTACTAAGTATATTCATTTTTAGCGATTGATCTCTTGTTATTACTAAGTAATGAATTTTAAGAAATATAAAAATCATTCAACACACTATAATTTAAAAAATAATAAAATATTTGTAAGAGAGATGCAAAAGCATTTACCATCCAAGATGCACCACTGTTTGTCTACCTCCGTGTGTTGTATATAACTATCCTCAATAGTTGGATCATAGTCCGCAACAAACAGTTTCTGAAAAAACTGTATTGTAAGTGCGCTTTTGCCAACACCTCCATCTCCAACAACGACCAATTTAAAGGTCATAAGATTGTCATTATTTGGTGGACGTGTCATTCTGCCTCTGGATCCTCTACTTCTTCGCCTGCTCCTGCGTCTGCCTATCCTGCCAACTCTTCTAACGTGTCCCTTTAGCAGTGCAAACACTCGTAGGATGGCGAATTGTCTCAGTAATCCGAGAGATCCTGCAACGATCAAAGCTTTCAGGAAACTTGCAGGAATATCCAGCGACAAAAATGCATTGGAGTCGCAAGGAATGCGTCGATTCGCGTTGTCATTTACGAGTAAAAATCGGGAACGAGAAATTGCGGTAAAACGTGGCGTCGGAGTAGCGGGTATGTCAAACGTCTAGTTTATACCTTCATCAAGAAACGCATACAAGTTTTATGACAATTCACACACAATGATAGATAGGATTGTTCCACCCAACGTTAAATTCTTGTAACCAAACTCACCTTACATGATCCGTTCATCCGCTACTTTTACTACTCGTGCGCGCGTGTCTATATACAGCGCGTGCATATGTATAGCAAAATGATGTATGTACACATACGTGTACTTACACTTTTATACTCGCGCGTCACGGCCACCGCTCGAGCGTCATCGACGTGAAATCGGTGAAGCGACTGAAGCGCGATGCACGGCTGCGACGAAGCAACTTTATCGACATTTGTCCAATCAGTTGGACATATTTCTATCTTTTAGATTCAAAATATTGTAAGAAAATAATATTTTTTTTACTGAAAATATTGCAGCTTAGATTTAAATATACATCTCAACCGCATGATGATATTAAAAATTTTTTAGCATATTAAAAATAAATTTTTATTTTTATTTTTATTTTTATTTTTATTTTTATTTTTATTTTTATTTTTATTTTTATTTTTATTTTTATTTTTATTTTTATTTTTATTTTTATTTTTATTTTTATTTTTATTTTTATTTTTATTTTTATTTTTATTTTTATTTTTATTTTTATTTTTATTTTTATTTTTATTTTTATTTTTATTTTTATTTTTATTTTTATTTTTATTTTTATTTTTATTTTTATTTTTATTTTTATTTTTATTTTTATTTTTATTTTTATTTTTATTTTTATTTTTATTTTTATTTTTATTTTTATTTTTATTTTTATTTTTATTTTTATTTTTATTTTTATTTTTATTTTTATTTTTATTTTTATTTTTATTTTTATTTTTATTTTTATTTTTATTTTTATTTTTATTTTTATTTTTATTTTTATTTTTATTTTTATTTTTATTTTTATTTTTATTTTTATTTTTATTTTTATTTTTATTTTTATTTTTATTTTTATTTTTATTTTTATTTTTATTTTTATTTTTATTTTTATTTTTATTTTTATTTTTATTTTTATTTTTATTTTTATTTTTATTTTTATTTTTATTTTTATTTTTATTTTTATTTTTATTTTTATTTTTATTTTTATTTTTATTTTTATTTTTATTTTTATTTTTATTTTTATTTTTATTTTTATTTTTATTTTTATTTTTATTTTTATTTTTATTTTTATTTTTATTTTTATTTTTATTTTTATTTTTATTTTTATTTTTATTTTTATTTTTATTTTTATTTTTATTTTTATTTTTATTTTTATTTTTATTTTTATTTTTATTTTTATTTTTATTTTTATTTTTATTTTTATTTTTATTTTTATTTTTATTTTTATTTTTATTTTTATTTTTATTTTTATTTTTATTTTTATTTTTATTTTTATTTTTATTTTTATTTTTATTTTTATTTTTATTTTTATTTTTATTTTTATTTTTATTTTTATTTTTATTTTTATTTTTATTTTTATTTTTATTTTTATTTTTATTTTTATTTTTATTTTTATTTTTATTTTTATTTTTATTTTTATTTTTATTTTTATTTTTATTTTTATTTTTATTTTTATTTTTATTTTTATTTTTATTTTTATTTTTATTTTTATTTTTATTTTTATTTTTATTTTTATTTTTATTTTTATTTTTATTTTTATTTTTATTTTTATTTTTATTTTTATTTTTATTTTTATTTTTATTTTTATTTTTATTTTTATTTTTATTTTTATTTTTATTTTTATTTTTATTTTTATTTTTATTTTTATTTTTATTTTTATTTTTATTTTTATTTTTATTTTTATTTTTATTTTTATTTTTATTTTTATTTTTATTTTTATTTTTATTTTTATTTTTATTTTTATTTAATTTTAATTTTAATATTTTTATTTTATTTTAATTTTATTTTTAGACAAAATAGATCACGTGATTAAAATTGATGCTTGATATTTGTCTACATGAAAAGGCACCTTTACTGATTTCAGAATGTGTATACGTCAGTTTATGCCGGGTGAAATAAATCGTGTTTAATTGAATGTATTAACGTTTATTATTTTGTAAGTATACGTGTATATTAATAATATTAATAATATAAAAAAAATATAGAGAACAATTTTGTATATCGGTATATCAAGTGTGAATTTACGTAAAATATAATTGTAACTTAGGTTATGTTACGTTTTGCATATTTACGAAAAGATGTTTAATAGAATTTTTATAAAAATTAAAACGAAAAAATAAGTTTCAAATGCTTAAATCAGATATTGCAAACAATATTCTTCCTTGTAGATACCGAAACGAATATCAATATGGATGCGGATTTATATGATGAGTTTGGAAATTATATCGGCCCTGATTTGGCGTCAGAGAGCGAGGATGAAAATGAATACGGCAATGTTGGCGATGACACCGAGGATAGAGAACGGTCCGATGAAGAAATGGAAGAAGACAAGGATGAGTCACGAGAGCAAGTGGAACAAGGATCTTCTATGGCAGTTGTATTGCACGAAGATAAACGATATTATCCTAGTGCATTAGAGGTGTATGGACCTGAGGTATAACAAAGCTACTAATTAATTTTTATCATTTAAAACTTAAATGTTGATATAATTTTTCTAATTTATAATTAAGTATATATATATATATACTTAATTATAAATATATTTTATGGTATCAATTAAACAATATATATTCCTATTATTTTATTATTTTCTAAGATACTTGTATTCATTTTCTATTTATATTAATATTTTTAGGTTGAAACGCTTGTGCAAGAGGAAGATGCCCAACCACTAGATAAACCACTAATAGCACCCACTAGAAAAGCAAAGTTTCAAATAAAACAACAGCAGCTGCCTGAAACCACATATAGCATTGAATTTTTAGCAGATATGATGGATGCACCACATCTTATTAGAAATGTGGTTTTGCTGGGACATCTTCATCATGGCAAAACTACTTTGGTCGATTGTTTGGTACAACAAACACATCCTTATTTACACAGTATAACCGATGAGAAACCACTGAGGTATTGTTGTACAGCATATAACTTTTATTAAACCAATTATTTAAAAAAAATATAATTTTTATTTATATATTATCAGATACACGGATACATTATTTACCGAACAACAAAGAGGTGTCTCCACAAAAGCTACTCCAGTCACTCTCTTGCTACAAGATGTTAAATCTAAGTCATATCTTTTAAACATATTCGATACATCAGGCCATGTAAATTTTTCTGACGAAGCGACAGCTGCGATTAGACTATCCGATGGTGCGATATTAATTGTTGATGCAGCAGAGGGAGTGATGCTGAATACAGAACGTCTACTGAAGCATGCAATTCAGGAGAAGCTTGCTTTGACGGTTTGCATAAACAAGATCGATCGTTTGGTGTTAGAGTTGAAACTACCACCCTTGGATGCTTATTACAAACTACGGCATATTATCGAAGAGATCAATGGATTAATAGTATTATACTCTTCGGACAGTGAGAATCCTGGCTTTGTTTCGCCCGCTGTAGGAAATGTTTGTTTTGCTAGTTCCGAATATAATGTATGTTTTACTTTGAAATCGTTTGCCGCACTCTATGCTAGGAATTATCCTGGACTCAATTCCAACGAATTTGCCAAACGGCTCTGGGGTGATATTTATTTTAATCCTAAAACACGGAAGTTCACTAAGAAACCACCTCATAATACTGCGCAACGAAGTTTTATTGAATTCATCCTGGAACCTCTGTATAAGATATTCGCGCAAGTAGTCGGTGATGTAGACACAACGTTACCCGATGGTAAGCTTCTCTTTTTTTATTTCCTATAATTCTTATAGTTATTTTTCGAAGAATAGTTACATACATATTTTATTCGTAGTTTTGGACGAACTCGGTATACGATTAACGTCCGAGGAGATGAAGATGAATATACGACCGTTGCTGAGACTTGTCTGCACACGATTCTTAGGAGATATGTGTGGATTAGTGGATATGTGTGTCACTCACGTACCTAGTCCGCAAGCACATGCACCCACTAAAGTACAACACGTTTATACTGGTCCAATAGATTCGCCTCTCGCACAGGATATGATTAATTGTGATCCCGACGTTAGTATTTTAATTGCAACTCTTAAAGTTAATATAGCAACGTCAATAACATTAGTTGTAATGAAGACATTTTATTAGAGTTGAAAACATTTTAACTTTATATTCCACTAATTAGCTTTATAATAAATTGGAGAAACTAATTACAAAATCACACATTAAGACTTAGAAAAATTCTTTTGATACTACAAACTATTTTAATGAGAATTTTTTTGTAGGGGAGACTGATGATCCATAGTACAAAGATGTATCCAACTGAAGACTGCACCCTCTTTGTAGTTCTTGGCAGAGTAATGTCAGGTACATTAGAAGCAGGACAACGTGTTCGCGTTTTAGGTGAAGCGTATTCACGCACAGACGAAGAAGATTCGCGCGTTCTGACAGTAGGTAGATTGTGGATTAGCGAGGCGCGTTACTCAATTGAATTAAGTCGCGTGCCTGCAGGCAATTGGGTTCTTATAGAGGGTATCGATCGACCGATCGTAAAGACTAGCACCATCACGGATCTCAACAACACGGAAGAGTTGCACATCTTTCGGCCGCTCAAGTTTAATACACAAAGCGTTATCAAAATTGCCGTCGAACCGGTGAATCCATCCGAGTTGCCAAAAATGTTGGATGGTTTGCGAAAAGTAAATAAGAGCTATCCGCTGTTGGGTACGCGAGTTGAGGAAAGTGGCGAGCACGTCGTGCTAGGAACCGGCGAACTTTATCTCGATTGCGCGATGCATGATTTACGTCGTATGTATTCTGAGATCGATATAAAGGTGGCCGATCCAGTGGTCGCCTTCGCAGAAACTGTCGTAGAAACTAGTTCTCTCAAATGCTTTGCCGAAACACCAAATAAACGAAATAAATTGACGATGATAGCGGAACCGTTGGAAAGGGGTCTTGCTGAAGACATAGAAGCCGAACATGTCCGTATTACATGGAACAAGTAAGTAATCTCATAGGAGAGAGAGAGAGAGAGAAATCAATATGCTCAAATATATTTAACATTATTATATTATATATTGTATCTATGTGTAAAAATTTATAAAAAGACAAGAAAGTATTTATTCTTATTATTATTTCTATTTTTTTTTTAGAAAGAGACTAGGGGAATTTTTCCAAACGAAATATGATTGGGATTTATTAGCAGCGCGAAGCATATGGGCATTCGGTCCTGATTCTACGGGACCTAACATTTTGGTGGATGACACATTGCCTTCCGAAGTAGACAAAACATTGTTGAACAGCGCCCGTGATGCTATCATCCAAGGTTTCCAATGGGGAACTCGCGAAGGTCCGTTATGTGAAGAACCGATTCGAAATGTGAAATTCAAAATTCTTGATGCAGTCATTGCGCAAGAGCCATTGCACAGAGGAGGTAATGACACTAGCATATATATATAATATATATATATATGTATATATATCTCACAATATTAATTTATAAAGCAACATGTAATATCCAAGATATATTGAGTACATCAAAATAAATTGATAAAAGTTTACATAATATTCATAAATATTTCACTAAAAAAAAGTACGAATAAAGATGTAATTATATAAATACAGATGCAATTTTTGTTTAAAAACATATTAAATTTTGATAGATATAAAATATTTCATAAAATCCAAGGAAGAATTCCAAGTAAAATAAAATATTTTTCTTATATATTTACAATCTCAAATTTAATTTTTTCGCAAATATTTAAGATTTACATATAATTACAAGTATATTTTATTTAAAAAAGTTAACCTTGCTAAATTAAAATAATTTCCATAATTTGTCATACTTGATTCTGCACTTTCAGGTGGCCAAATCATTCCTACTGCTCGACGTGTCGCATATTCTGCTTTTCTCATGGCGACTCCGCGACTAATGGAACCATACCTATTTGTCGAAGTACAAGCACCCGCGGACTGCGTGTCCGCCGTTTATACTGTTCTGGCGAAACGGCGAGGTCACGTAACGCAAGATGCCCCGGTCCCGGGCAGTCCTTTGTATATAATCAAAGCCTTCATACCAGCGATCGACAGTTTTGGCTTCGAAACGGATCTTCGAACGCACACTCAAGGTCAAGCGTTTTGCCAGTCTGTTTTTCATCATTGGCAGATTGTACCTGGAGACCCTCTGGATAAGAGCATCAACATGAGACCGTTGGAACCACAACCGGCCACCCACTTGGCCAGAGAGTTTATGTTGAAAACGCGAAGACGTAAAGGATTGTCCGAGGACGTATCCATCAATAAATTCTTCGACGATCCTATGTTGCTCGAGTTAGCTCGGCAGGATGTATTGCTGAATTATGCCCTCTAATTTACTAAAATATATCAAAGTGACTACAAGTGTAAGATACATAATTAAAGTTTCTTAAAGAAAGGTGTGTGTGTCTCGCATGATTTTAAATATTAATTCTACATTTACTTTCACATCAAAATAACATATCCCTTTAACAAAAAAAAAAGTAATTACCAATATAATTTAATTTTATTATCATTTTATAATTTGTTGTCAGAATCTAAAAAATGAAGTTATTAAAGTGTAGGATGTAAAAAAAGAGAAGGTTAGAAAATTTATTATACTTATTCAAAGAATAAACTCTTAGAAACTCTTTTAGAGGTTAACGTTCGATTCTCGTCTTGTAGATACATATAATTTTGAAGACTAAACGTTATTCTAACTTGTAATAAAGTAATCATCGCTTTGATTTCAATTGTTTAAAAATAAATAAAAAAGCATTACGATAATATTAGACCAGCAAATATTCGTAAGATCTATTTTTTATAAAGTTATTTTTCGCAATTTATCTCTCAATTACTTGTAAAATGATCTTTACTCTAAAATATCTTTTTAAATTTAGTGATCACAATTATTTAGTAATATTTTACTATTTCAAAAAAATAGTATTTTGAATCATCATTTTTTATTATATTATAATCCATCAATTTATTGTTCATATTTTCTACGAAATTATACAAATGCACCTAATAATCATAAAACATTTTTATCGACGGATACTCATTCCCTCGTTGATTCAGAACTCTTTCAAATCCTTCGATATTTCTTGTGTTACTCTAAACCGTTTGCCATTCTTCCTGTATTCTTAACCGCTCAAATCTAGGCCACAAATCAGGAACGACGTCTATCTTTTTCTCTTATTATCATAAAAAAAAAATAACGAAATTACATATAACATAACTAATGAAATTACTCAATTGTTCAAGTAAATTTATTAACAATAAAGTAAAGTTGCTGTAAATCATTGCGCTGACTTGAATAAAATAAGTTGAAAAAATCCATTAAGAAAAAAAGGTAGTTATTCTATATAGTTTTAAAACTACCTCATCGGTATCTTTAGCTTTTCCAGCACAATATGTGAAATCGCAAGTCACACGTCAGATTTTGTGCCAAAAAATCGTAACATTATATTGCGATTGTGCATTGGAAAGAGGAACGATTGCGGCAAATGAGACTTTACAGGTCTATTTTCGCGTTGCTTCTCTCCAAATCTCTAAAAAATGTTTACACTTGAAAGAGATACAAAGTCCGTTCTTCGTGGCTGAACTTTTGTATCAATTCATCTTTCTTCTCTTCTCTTGGAAAGAAAAGGAAGAAAGATGAACTTAATGCAAAACAATGGCGTTTTTGACCAGACCGGTTCTATTCTAACCTGGGCTGGATTAATGGACGCTTCATGCTCTCCTATTAGTAGAGCGTGTAAAGTCCAATAGCAAAGCACTTTCTAACCTAGGTTCGTGCAAACCTGATCGAGCTGAAAACGCTACATAAGTTCAATCCAAAAGAACAGACCTATAATATACGTTACAAGAGAGAGAGAGAGAGAGAGAGAGGAAGCGAAGATTAAGTGGAAAAAGTACGAGCAACGCAAACAAATATATAATATCGAACCTCGAGTTCATGACTTCCAATGTAGGTACCTCTATTGGAAATCTACAATCAAGAGGGAGAACTCAACGTTTTCGAGAAAAGAGAAACGTCGCGAGGGGGAACCAGCTCTATAAAGCCCAAGCTTCAAAAACTGTGTATTTCGGTATATCCATTTTTGATAAGTTGAAACTGTCTTATTCCTTCGCATCTTGAACTTTATCCCTTATTCCTTGGAGATCCTAGGAGACTACCTATACCTATACATCGCGACGGACGCGAGAAAGTTGCGCGTCGCCTCGCCGCCCTGCATGCGCACGCGGCGGGCGGAGCTACAGCTTGCCGCAGCTGCGCGTTATCGAAGAGGCGGATTCGCTGGTCGGAGTCAGGCGCCATTTTAACATCCTCGGCCACTCCCACCTATCCGCCCATAGGCCAGACTGGTACCCGCCCGGGCGACGCGTGCGCGCGCGCGCGCGCGCGCCCGCCGGGGCAATCTTCGGCGACTTCGGCCGCGACGCTATCGCAGCGAACGATCGATCACGCCGAGTGCTTTCGACGTCCCCTTCTATCCCCTCTTCACCCCCGTTCCCACCTCTACGCTCCGTCCTTCACCTACACGCAATAGCCGCGCGCGATCCGACGCACCCTTCGCCGTTTCTACGCGCCGATTCAGCTTCTATGAAGCGAATTAACTTCTTGCGATGAAACCAGGACGTGACCGTGTACGTCGTATTTTTCCCGATGGATCCTTTATTATTTGATGATAATAGTAGGAAAGAGGGAGAGAGGAAAGAGGGCCACGAGAGTAACTTCGGCAATACGGTATGCTATTCTTTTTCTATGTTCTTTGTATTTTCGTCATTTCTTTCTTTTTTATACCTTTCATGTAGAAACTATAACCTATAACGTATAACGTAGTGTAACGTCCCTAATAGAACAGCGAATTACGATAACGTCAAAATGATATTAAAGTGAATCCGAAATGATTGAAAAATGACTTTTAATGATCATCTTGGAGTCATTTTGACATTATAATGACTTGTTGTTCTGCTTGGGATAAACTAAAGCCACGTGCAAAACGTAAAGCAGTACGACGTAAACAGTAAAAGGAAATCGTAATGCGTAGTCTACAATGACAGTAGCGGAGTAGAGTGGATGAAACTGTAAAGCTGCGTTTTCACCTGACGCTGCGACGCTCATTTTTAATGGCAAAACAGGTCACGTGACGTCTTATATTCGTCAATTTTTATCACGTGACCTGTGTTGACGCTAAACACGAGCATCGTAGTGTCAGATGAAAACGTAGTAGGTATAAGAATACGAAATTTATCAGCCACAGTAGAATGAAAAGGATCGATATTCTCGTAATTATGACATCAGTCGAAAGTGTTTTGTTAAATTAAAGAAAAGTATACGTATTATAAATATCGAGATAAATATACTATTTATGGAAATACTTGGTCATTTTTATAATATATACTTCTGAGATTCGCAACAAAATAATTTATTCGCGAGCATTTACTTGTCATCTTCATTAATAGATAATTATTGCAATTTATACAAAAATGTAACATAAAAACCACCTATGATCAATCGAGTCGGACTTTTTCTTCGAACTATCATTTACGAGAAAACGATAATAATATAACATGCTCATAAACAAGACTTACATCCAAATGAAGTTAATTAAAGTAATGAAATCTTAATGTAATGATTATGTCAAAGGCTATATTATAATATTATTGTGAGCGTTCAAGTCGACAAAACGGTTAACTGAGCAATTATAATAAGTATGATTGGTTGGATCTCCACAGGTAAGAACCAATCATGCAGTATATAGGTATTGTAAGTACTGTAAAACTTCAAATTATTCTTTGATTAATTATTTATACAAAATTCCTTTTTGTGGTTGGTCAATTAAATGCTTCAAAACACGTTTGCAGCTTCAAGAAGATCGTATCCAAAATATCTACATAAAGCGACGTCTACAATGATTTTAAGGCGTCAATCTTAAACTTTGAGAGCCGTAAGAAATTGACCAATCATAGTCGATTATTCTGCTCACATTCAATTATAATTGGTTAATTTTTTTACGGTTTACGGCTTAAAGCTTAAGTTTCAAATATCATTGTACAGACACCGCCTTTAATAAATATTATATTTATATATTTAGATTAGTAGATTACATATAAAACTACATCTGTATATATTTTTATACATATCATAAATAAATGAACCATTTTCGTTTAATTTATAATCACTCGCATTTTTCCTTGCAATCAACGCGTTACAGAACTACAAGGAAAAACGGGAGTTTTTTAAATAATTACTGACAAATATGTATATCGTTAATACGATAAGGTGTACGTATCGGAGCAGATATATTGAGTGACAATTTTAAACTCGAATAATAATCGACCATGGGCATCCATGTCCTACATTTGTTTGCATGTAACGCAGTCGAGTTTCTACTAATTATCGTACATTGCTAATGCACGTTATTATACGTGTAATTGATCGCTTCGTACATTGCGCTCTTTATTATTATCTGCATTAATGTTCCTTCCGACATTTTAATAACTGCTGTATCATATAAACCTTTGAGAGAGATATGAATACTTATATTACTTATACAAATCCTTGATATGTGAATACTTTATTGAATACTTATATTACTCCGTTTTAATTTTAATTAGTAACATATTAATAATGTATAAAATAAAAACTAATAATTGCAACGTTAAACGTTTCTTAGATGTACACCATACGATGCGTTATCGATGCAAAATTAATGATATAGTGAAATTTATTAGCAGCATTGATCGAGTACAGACTTTAAAACATTAACGTACGTTTTTATTCCATTTTTTTTAATACAAAGTCAATAGGTATATAAAATGTTTAAGGACTTGTTCACAACGATTCTTAAGTTTCTTTTGTCGCCTTATTTTACGTCAGGCGCAAATATTCTAACATCTTTATTCGATAAGACGTGTTATAATTTAAATACTTTGCAAGGCAATTATTTTACATAGATTAGAGTACGTGTGTCGATTATATTTTATGTGCATGAATTTGTTGTAACATATAAATAAATAATGTCCGTGTCGTGTGTTTATTCCACGACTAGACGATCAAGTTATCTCGTCTCGTATACGACGAAATGCATCGCAAGAGTCAGAGAAACCCCTTTCTCAAGAAAAGACGGATGGTCCGATCAAACGGCGATCGCGAAGCCACGGAAAACATAACGCGCTGTCTGTGCATAGAACAGGAACATACAGAACGGCAATCTCCATCTGCGGGGGTAAACGAAGAGACAGAGAGAGAGAGAGAGAGAGAAAGACGCGATAAAGCTGTAGAGTAGCTAGACGGACAAGACGAGACGAGAGCGAGACGGAGCGAGAATTGCCGAAAGGCACACAGCGTGTCCGCCGACGCCCGTCGACGCTCGGCGTCGTTCGTGCGGTTCCGTCACAGCGAGGCGGGGTTTAGGCGGGGTCGATACGAGGCGCCTTCTCTTTCCGTACGGTGTCACTCTTAAAACGCATGGATATATCCTAGCATCGCGTCGCGGCGACTATCGCATCCTATCGCTATCAACGCAACCGTCTCTACAACCCGCTTTCTCTCTCTCTCTCTCTCGATAATCATCAATCATGCCGTGTTATTGTCGTCCGTATTACGCGAGTCGACGGTCGGAGTAGTGACGGAGCAACGCGGCGCCGTCGGTACGCGCGAAAGTCGCGTGCGGAGAAAGGGGGGAAAACGAGACGGAGGTAGCCGACGCACGGGGTGGGAAAGCCGAGAGGGGAAATGAGGGGGAGTCTCTCTCTCGCGGGCGCGCGGGCGCCCTTCGGTTCAGCTCGTGCCGGTCGATCAGCGGCGCGGGTGACTAGCGGACGAGGACAGCGAACCGAGTATTATAGCGACGCAGGGAACGGCGCGGCGCGGCGGTCGGGAGCGCAGCAACACTGACAGGCGGCGCGAGAGACAGACGTATATACGCGGTGCCGATCGGAGGAAAAAACGTAACCGCCGCGCGCGTTGATCGGTGACAGTCGACACGACGCGCGACGCTACGACGACGGCTACCGCTGGTGCGCGACGCGCATGCATATACGACTGTTGCGTCATTAGCCATGACGACCAACGTAGCGGGGACGTGATGTTACGTGGCCGCTATCACCGCCGTGCGTCGCCGCTCGTCTACCCGGAGTCGCGAAAGACTCGACGACTCCTCCCGCTCGCGTACGTCACGTACGGCAAAGAGAAGCAACGCTGGGAGCGACGACTACGAGCTACGAGCTCTATCGGACGCCTCGGTGCCGTGGCCGGGGCCGTGGCCGGGGCCGGGGCCGGGGCCGGGGCCGAGGCGCCGTTGCACACCGACGGACGGAGCAGCGTTGCCACTTCCTCGACACGGCCGCGGTCGCGGCCACCGCCGCCGCTACCGCCGTCGCACCGTCGTTGCCACGTCCGCCGCTACGTGCCACCGCCGGGAACGACCGCGACGGCG